CGTCTCTCCCCTCCATCCTCTCCAATTGCCCCTCCCCACCAACATCAATGACCTGCTTTGGGAAAGGGGGTAACAACATATCCACCCCGAAAGGGAAACCAGGACAGAAGACATACTGGGGCCCTGCCCAACTGGGGTCCCTCTCACACTGGGGTCCCTCCCACACTGGGGTCCCTCTCACACTGGGGCCCCGCCCACACTGGAGGTGGAGTGTTTGGACAAAAGAATAGGCCTTCAAGGAAAGGGGTGAAGTGAGTGTTGCAGCCCAGCATCAACCAGAGGGCCCCTCACAGGGGCCTCCAAAGTGTACAAACCTGACCACACAGGTGTGCAGCCCCACAACACCTGAACAGTGCCCGCGCCCCCGCCCCCTGCTGTCTCCCACTCCCCACCCCCCCACTGGGGCCCCTGCCATGTGATTTCATGGCCACATCCTTTGTGTGGCCTCAGCCTGAGTCTCTGAGCTTTCCTCATGTGTCCGATCCCAGGACCTACTGTTTGGAAATTCCTCTTACTATGCGGTTTAAAGCAGATGAATCAAGTTCATACCAAACCAATTAAAAAAGCAAAAAGGCAAGGGAGCCTTACATCACATTTTCCCTTGGTTGCTCTCTTCCCTCCAGGCTGACTCGGCCTGGCCACTGCAGGCTGCGGCGAGGCTGCTGGCGCTCTGCCTCCACTGAGCGTGGGTCAGGGATGGCCCGCTCCCTGGGAAGGGGCTGGCATCCAGCCAGACAGCTTGGGCAGGGCGGTGGGAGAAGCGAGGGTCCTAGGCCGCAGGGAACGGGCTGGAGCCAGCAGTGTTACTGTTTTGCTACAATTAGAGCTCCTGAAGCCAGTGGGCATTTGCACCCACCCCGTCCCGTTTTTTGTCTCCCCCTAGTGGCAGGGTCCGAGCAGCCCCTGAGAGCTGTAGAACTGGGTGCTGTTACAGCACCCCACCCTGCCATGGCAGCGTGAGATGCAGTTAGTGGGGGAGAGAGATGTGACCAAGTGGGAACCTCGGCTGGAGGATGGAGACACAGGGTTTTGTCAGATCCCTGGGCCCTCAAGGTGGCTGGTGTATATGTGAATGTTTAAAAACCTCCACCTCCAGCCCTGGCCTGTGTGGCTCAGTGGGTTGGGCATCGTCCTGCGCACCAAAAGGTTGCTGGCTCAATTCTGGGTCAGGGAACATGCCCATGTAAGGGGAATGCAGGAGGCAGTCATTGATGGTCAGCTTTCACATCAATGTTCCTCTCTCTTTCTCTCTCTCTCTCTTCCTCTTTCTTACTCTCTTTCTAAAATCAATTTTTGAAAAAATATATTAATAAACACCACTCCAATCAGGCCTGCTTTGGCTGGGCCATCGGGAGGGGTAGGGATGGGGGTGAAGGGAGCCCCGGGCTGATGGAACAGCTGTGCAGTCACCCCTTAACTCCCTCTGTGTTGAATCAAATGAGAGTCAACAGAGCCTCGAAGCCTTCAGAGTCCCCACCCCAACACACAGGTACACACACGCATGCACAGAAGCTGTTGCAGACCAGGGTGTGTGGGCAGATGGAGTCAGGTGACCCGGCTCCCATCTCCTAAGGTGCAGTCCAGGGGGCCACGACGCTGGTGGAGAGAGGCTGTGACGCCTACGCAATGAAGCACACCCCATAGGTGATCAGGCTTCCAGGCTGCCAGTGAGCGTCAGGGGTGTGTTTAATCTGTAACCTCCCGCCCTGTCTGCATCTTCTGAAGAGTGGGGCCCATTGGACTTGAGTGTGGTCAGGACTGAGCGCGGTGGCCAGGCAGGGCCCTGCTTTTACAGGGCTCTGTTACAGTCGGGTGGAATGACATCCATCTGGGGTCTGCAGACTTGGGGGTAGGAGCTCTTTCTGTAGCTCTAAAGCTTGAGGTTCTGGATGAGGGGGTGGAGGGAAGGGTTGGTGACAAGGTCCTGGAGCCAGGCATGGGTTGGGGGACGAGCTGATGAGGGTCCCGGTGGGCTCCCCAGTGGCCCAGGACTAAAGCGCCATAAGAGACTGCCAAGCAGAGCCGACCTTCAGAGTGAGTGTCCCGGCCACAAACACACACACACACACACACACACACACCTAGAACAGTTTTAGCTCCTGGCCCCGGTGCCTGGGCTTGGGGTGGGCAGTTGGGAAGGGAAGGGGTGGGCAGTGACTGCCCGCTGAACGTGCATCAGCCTCCGCACTCATCAGAATCATGTGTCTCTTCAGCAGCCCCTGGTGCGGTTGAGAGGTGGTGCCAACATCGGGGAGGGCCGCGTGGAGGTGCTCAAGAACGGCGAATGGGGTACCATCTGTGATGACAAGTGGGACCTGGTGTCTGCCAGCGTGGTCTGCCGAGAGCTGGGCTTTGGAAGTGCCAAAGAGGCCGTCACTGGCTCCCGGCTCGGGCAAGGTAAGGAGTGGGAGGACATGTGGTGGGCTCTCTCCACGGGGACTATGGCAGAGGAGCCCAGCACGGCTGGCTGCAGGGGCTTCCCAGGCTCTCCTTCTCCTGCCCCCAGCGGCTGCTTCTCTTAGAGACTCCCAGGCCTCTCCCTGGGTAGTCAGAGCTGGAAGGGCCTTAGGGAAACTGAGTCCCCATGTTCCGGATTTGGAAGCTGAGACCCAAAGAAGGGAGATGAGACAACATATTAGCCGTCAATGAGTAATGGGGGTCTCCCAACCCCTAACCCAGGGCTCCCACTGCCCCGCTGAGCAACTGGAAATCTTGGGAGGGTCCTCCAGGAGAGGGCCTCGGGGTTCATCAGGCTGTGGACCACCCCGGGCACAAAGGAACCGCCGATGTCCTCTTACTCTCCCACTCCGGCAAACCTCCCTGCTCCCAGACACTGGGAACATGATACCCCTCTCCGATGTCATGGGATGCGAAGGAGAAGGGGCCTGGTTTTTATTAAGTGTCCTGAACAAATGTTCTGTTTGAGCAAAGAACAAAACACAAGGGACTTTCAAGCTGAGAGCAATGTTGTGGACGTGACATGACAACACAACAGAGTGTCCCTTCCTGCCTGGCCCATGAGGCCACTGACCCGTGCGAGCCCTGGGTCTTCAGAAGGCAGCCCTTCACCCAGACACTGCAGCCCAGCGAGTGCCCAGCCTCTCCTGGGAACTGGGAACTGAGCAGGGAAAGCAGCCCTCAGTGCAGACCAGCAGGGCGGCTACAGTGCACCTGGCTGGAGGGCCCGGGAGGAGGGAGAATGGGTGGGGAGGAGGGAGAATGGGTGGGGAGGAGGGAGAATGGGCGGGGAGGAGGTGTGCGGTGCCCTGTCCTGAGGGGAAAGGATGTTTCTAAGCTGTCAGACATAGGGCCATTGCCCCACAGAAAGGAATGCAGTGAGGTCATAGATCCCAGCCCCGAGATGGAAATAATAGCAGGGACTGGAGAGAGTCCTGGCTCCTGAGGCAGCATTGCTGGAGGGGAGCTCAGGCTGTCTACTCCAAACAATGAGGAATTTGAGGCTCTGGAGAACAGCCCAAGGTCATCCGAGAGTTAATGGAGTTAATGGTAGAGAGTCTCACTCAGATTTGGGCCTTTCCCTTTGCAATAAGTCCTGCTCACTTTCAGAACACCTCTCTACCGTCACTCTCCGATCTCTGCAGACTTCCTGGGCGTGCACTGAGGTTTGGGGTCTAGGGTGGACTTTAATGACAGTGTACCTGTCAGGCCGTGCGACAGTCCTCGCCCTCCTGGTATGGGCTTCCCTTAAATCTCGAATATTTAGGACAGAGCATTTTTCTGGTTGGCTGATGTGATGGTTTGTGCTCTCCCAAGGCCAACAGGACAGAGACCAAGCTCATTTTGAGGAATAAACAAGCCCTGGGTAACATAAACATCCCATGTCTCCTGGGTATGTGCTGTTTGACCTAATTACTGCACTGCCCAGAGCAGCCGAAGGCTTCCAAGGGCCTGCGGAACTCTGGGAGAATGAGATGTTTGACATTTATGATGCACGAAAGGACCATTGGATGATTTACTATCTGTTGCCACACTGGGTGGGGTCCACTCTGATGGGCAGAGAGAGAAAAGTCCACACTCAGTGTCAGGTCACAGAGCAGATGGGGTCAGTCCCGTAGTCCTGGCTCTGGCTGGTAGAGCAGTGACCACACCCAAGTGAGGGCAGTGAGAGGGTGACCACTGAGAGTCCCAGTCCCAGCCCCGACCCTGCTTGCACAGTGCCTTTGAGTGGCCTTCTGGGCCTCAGAGTTTTTTCTGGATTTATGTCTGAGGTTCTGTCTGACTCCAACCTCCTGTGATTCTCTGAAACTTGTGCTTCTCACCAGGATGGATGTCAGGTCAGAGTCGGGCACTGCGCCTTGTGGTGCACGACCCACGGCACTCAGACCGCATTCCGTTCCGGCCGTCTGTCTATGCATCCTCCAAGCCCCGGGACTGAGCGTTGCGTGTGGGGAGGGCCTCTGTCTTTTATCTCTGTGTCCTTAGTGCCGAGTCTGTGCCCAGCTTGTATTGTGCCAGGAATGCTAATTTTTCAAGAATGAATGAATGGATGAATGAATGAGTTCCGGTTGCACAAGTAGGGTCAGCTGAACTAACATAGTAAAGAAGTTTACACATTCAAGACTTGCATTGTCCACTAGAAATATTACACAACCCATTTACCTATTTAACATTTTCTAGACATAATTTTAAGTTTTCTAGTAGCCACGTAAAATAAGTAAACAAACAAACAAACAAAAAGCAGGAGAGCCCTGGCCAGGGTGGCTCAGTTAGTTGGGCATCGTCCCATCCATCAAAAAAGTTGTCAGTTTGATACTCAGTCAGGGCACATGCCTGGGTTGCAGGCTCAATCCTCAGTGCTGGAGGCAGCTGATTGATGTTTTGCTCCCACATTGATCTTTCTCTCTTCCTCTCCCTTCCTCTCTCTCTCAAAAAAAAAGTCAATAAAAATATTAACAAAAATAAGCAGGTGAAATTAATTTTAATAATATATTTTATTTACCTAGAAAATATGAAATATTTTTATTTCAACATGAAATCAATATAAATGCTATTAATGAAATAATTGACATTTCGTGTACCAACTCCTTGAAATCCAGGGTGTTATGTACACTCACAGTACATCTCAGTCTGCACTGGCCACAGTCCAAGTGCTACTGCATTGGACAGGGAAGCTCTAGAACAGCGATTTTCAGCCGGTGTACTGCAAGAATTTTTAAAACATGCGATACCTGACTATTTAGTCAGGAGCACTGACCTCTTTACCCTTAGATTATCAAGTAACAATGTGACAACTGCCAATACAACAATAGCTGTCCAGTATGAGTAAATCAAAATTTATACTTTTTTTGTCTGATTGGCAAAAAAATAAAATACATTTTTTGTGTGCCGCAGAATTTTAGTAATTAGTTTATGTGTACCATGAGATGAAAAGGTTGAAAATCACTGCTCTAGAGCTTTAAAACCCTTTTGCTTGCAATGCCCAATCAGAAATACATGTGACAGTGTATGCCATACACACAAAGCTGAAATAAAACTTTGTGAAACAATGCTAACCTTTACAACATGCAAAAAACACTGCTGTGTCCTAGTCTCTTCTTTTGGCCCTTAAAAATGTGATTGCAACCTGCAGAGGTGTTTGTGGATCCAGAGTCCATACCTGGCTCCCTGTAGTCACCTGCGGCCAGAGCTTGTACAAGAAGGAAGAGCAGGGCCACGGTGGAGGTGGGGAGCAATCCAGGGTACAGTCCAGAGCCCAGGAATAAGCAGAAGCTGGGGATCAGGATGCAGGTTAAATCTAGGTCAACAACAGAAGGCAGGAGCCTCAGACCCCACTGGCCGTGCTGCAGCCAGCGCCTTCCATGGACACCTCCTGCCCTGCCCAACCCACCACAGAACTGGGTGGTGCAGAAAACAAGGGTGAGAAGCACTGGTTTCCCCAGCTCGGTGCTCTGCCTGGTGTCCATGAGTATGCATGCTGCGGGAAAGCGGGCGCTGCTCTCTGGGCCTCGGCCCCCGGTGTCTGAGAAAGCCACGTAAGTTTATATCAGGTAGGCCAGAAGGAGACCAACCAGATGTTTGTTGGAGTCTAAAGCATGCTAAGCTCTTGTGTTAATATTTCCTTTATAGTCTAGCAATCCACAAACACTCGTTGAGTTAGTATGTGGTCTGCACGGTGCAATGGAGAATTTACTTATTCCACAATCACTTGGGGTAATCATTTCTGTTCTCTAGGAGCTCATCTCAAGTGGAAAAAATGATATAACCCCAAAGATAACTTACACTAACAAAGAGGTTATGACATGTAAGAATAATACTAAAGCCCTAGCTGGTTTGGCTCAGTGGACAGAGTGTCGACCGGTGGACTGAAGGGTCTCGGGTTCGATTCCACTCAGTGGCAGACTTGATCCCCAGCCCTGTTTGGAACACATGTGGGGGCAACCAATTGATGTCTCTCTCTCACATCAATGTTTCTCTCTCTTTCTGTATCTCCCCTTCCCTTCCACTCTCTGAAAATCAATGGAGAAAATATCCTCTAGTGAGGATTAACAAAATAATATAATAATAATGAAAATAATACCTACCATTGGGCCAGTTATTTAATCTTTCATCTCCAGTTTCCTCATTTTATTGGGTTGTTGTGATGATTTAATGATTTAATAGAAGCAATGTGTATAGGACAGAATCCAGCACAGAGTAAGTGCTCAAATATCAGATATCCTCATCACCACAGTCATCATCCTCACTGTCATCCTCATCATCACCCCCACCATCATTATACCATTACCATCATCACCACCACCATCATTATACCATTACCATCATCATCACCATCACCATCATTATACCATTACCATCATCATCACCACCATTATTACCACCACCATCATCACCACCCATTATTACCGCCACCATCATCACCACCACCATCATTATACCATTACCATCATCATCATCACCATTATCATCACCACCATCATCACCACCATCATCATGATCCTCACAATCATCAAACAAATTCTGCCTGATCTAACTGCAGTCCCAGGTTGCTGCCCACTTCTATGCCCATCTTAATTCACGAGCTGTGGCCTCCGCTTGCTTCCAGAGCCCTGTTTAGGATCTCTATTTTATCACAGCCTTTCCACTCTGAGTCCTTGGATGCTTCCAGCCATAGTTACAGATGTTTTTTGTAAATTTTGTAAAATTCTAGGGAATTGTACAAATTCATCACTTATGAATTTCCAAGGAAATGGAACTTGGCTTTTATAACATGGGTTGCTCTTAGAAGTTAATTTTTGGCCTCAGTGAGCCTAGATACTGGTGTCTTCAGACCCCGTGGCATAGCCAAGGGCCCTTCCTTTAGGTTCAAAACATAGGTAGGCCCTGGCTGGTGGCTCAGTTGGTTGGAGTGTCATCCCAAACACCAAAAGGTTTAGGGTTCGATTCCAGGTCAGGGCATATACCTAGGTTGTGGGTTTGACCCAGGTGTGTATGGGAGGCAACCAATTGATGTTTCTTTCTCCCTTTGATGTTTTCTCTCTCACTCTCTTTCTCTCTAAAATCAATAAAACCTATCCTCAGGTGAGAATTTTTTTAAAATCATAGGTAGTCACCTCCATCTTTTACCACATTACAAGTCCTTGCATAAGTGTCTGCCTCCCCCACAGACTAACTGAGCACTTCATGGCAGGGGCCTGCCTTCTTCATTTATGAGTCCCCAACTCCTAGCACAGAGGCCAACATACAACAAGTTCTCAGTGGAGACAACATCCATCCAGACACTATCTGCAGCACTTCTTTTTTGCCGGGGCCTGGTTGAGAATACAAAAGGAACACAGAGGCTGGCCGATGTGGCTCGGTGGTTGAGCATTGACCTATGAACCAGGAGGTCACAGTTCAATTCCTGGTCAGTTATGGGCTCAATCACAGTAAGGGGTGTGCAGGAGGTGGCTAATCTATGATTCTCTCTCATCATTGATGTGTCTATCTCTCCCTCTCCCTTCCTCTCTGAAATCAATTTAAAATAAAAACTAATATAAAAAAAAACTAAAGGACCACAGACATAGTGCCTGCTCTCGTGGGCCCTCTCGTGGGAGACAGACAGACATTGAACAGAGAGCCACGTGAATGAACGCGAAGCAGAGTGCTCAGTGGACGGCTCCCTGAGAAGACCCAGCTGAGATGGGGTCAGAAAGGCATCTCCAAAGAAATGGCATTGAAGCTGAGCCCTGAAAGATGAGCAGGAGTTAGTGGTGAGGACTGGGAGGAAGACAGTCCAGGCAGGGGGTCCACGCAGAGGGAAACCCTTGGCTCAGGAGACGATATGGCTGAGGGGGAGGAGCTGGCAGAGCCAGGAGGCTAAGTGGAGGTCAGATTCCACAGGGCCTGGGAGGCCCCCTGGGGGAGGCAGACACTTCCACAAAGACCTCATATAATGTGGTAAAAGATGGAGGTGACTGCCTATGACTGTGGATTTTACCATTGGGACAGTGAGAGGCTACTGCAGGGATTTAAGATGAAAAGTGACATGATTCCATTTGCATTAGAAAATCTCTTGGGCTGCCGTGTGGAAAATATTTTGGAATAAGCAAACAGGAGGAAGACTAGAGACTATTGAATTCATCCAAATGGGAGACGGCAGGGTTGGACTAGTGTTGTAGCAGAAATGAAAAACAAAAGCACTCGGCTTTGGGGGAGTGAACAGAATGTGGTAATGGACTGCTTTTGGTGAAGAAGGAGGCGGTACTAGAGATGAGCTCTGGGTTCTGGTGAGAATAGCCAGGTGGGTGGAGGGGCCTTTTCCTGGGATGGGGGAGGGCTGGCGAGGAAACAGACTGGGGACAAGCCTACTGTTGGCTGTGGAAGCAGAGAACAACAGATGTTGCTCTCAAGAAATTCTCCCTGAAGGGGACAAAAGTGATGGGCCAGAGGGAGCTGCAGGGGTCCGGAGAGGGTCATCGTAAAGATGGGAGGTTTTAGCGGGCGTTTGAGTGATGAGAGTCAAGAAGGTGGTGAGGATCTGGAGAGGGAGAAGGTCACAGACAGGCCAGGGACCAAGGTGGGAGTCGATGCAGCCCAAAGCTGGAAACAGTGGGCTTTGATCCGTCGTGATGAGTGGCTGAGTTGAGCTGAATGCTGGTCAGCCTGGGAATTCTTTCTCCCCAGCAGGGGGAAGCTTCCCCTTGTTATCTCTGCCTGTATGAGAGCTTCCCGCTCACCTAGGTCATTTGCAGGGTTCTTCCATCACCCCCTCCAGCTCCACTCTCCACCCTTACCCATAAAATCAAGAGGCACATTTGGGTGTGGCCAGCAGGGAGCACTGACAGCAGACTGGAGATGGGAGAAGAGAGATGCCAGGTATTTCTTCTCCCTGCAAAGTCCCTGTAGCCACCCTGTCTCTCAACCAAGGGTAACAGCTCTTTTCAGATGCCTTTCCACACAGCTCTTTGCTCTCCTGGGTTAGATATTGGCATCTCCTCTCACTCCTGCAGGTTTAGTCTGGTATCTGTGCCCAGTGCTAGTAGCCCCCGAGCACTGGACTGTCCTTTGTTCACTACACTCTGTTCATACCTTTATTGTAAAAATCTATTTTTCTAACTTTCTTCAGATCATCCAATTTGAGCATGCCATCTCTTCCTAAAGGGACCCCAACCATGGAGCCATAGTCACCCTTTTCAGGTTCATAAATGCAAGTTGGGAAGGAAACCTAGATACCTTCTAGTTCGTCTCCTTTATTTAAGGGAGAAAACCAATATTCAGGAGGCTGAGCGAGTTGTCCAAGATCACACAAGTTAGTACAATCCTCATTAGCTCTTATGGGAGAAGCAATTCTTTCCAGGCAGGAAAGACTGGGTCATTGAGCTGATTGTGGGAGGCTATTGGGAGAGTTCTGAGGATGGGAGAGAAGTGTTCTTATTATTTGGGATTTTCTTGCCAATTGCTGAAACTTTCCTTCAGGAGCTCTCATAGCCCATGCTTATTTTCTTCTCCAGGGATAGGACCCATCCATCTCAACGAGATCGAGTGCACTGGGAACGAGAAGTCCATCATTGACTGCAAGTTCAATGCCGAGTCCCAGGGCTGCAACCACGAGGAGGATGCTGGAGTGAGATGTAATACCCCTGCCATGGGCTTCCAGAAGAAGGTGAAGGGGCTGGACACACAGATGGGACCGTGTCGTGTTTAGGTCATTGAGGCCTCAGAAATTGCAGGCCCATTGGCCTCACGCTGAAGGTTTCTCGCAGGTGGTGTGAGGGTACTCTGACAGCAATCTCAGGAAGGTGTCAGGCTCAGCTGCATCACTATTCATGGCATTGCCACCTGGCATTTGTAAATGTGCCAAAAAGAAAACATGTATAAGCACCACTGTCCTTAGTGGCAGACACTGAGCGTCTGCCAGGTGCCACATCTGCACTGGGACTGGACGTATGGGGAGATCGCAAGGCAGTCCTTTCTGAGGGACTCAGGTCTACAGCACCTGTGACACCCTTGGCAAGAGCCCTTTCCGAGGGTCCAGAGGAACCACATTGACAGCAGATCTGCAAACCACACAGATATAAGCAAGTACAGATAGTACGTTGGTAACCAGAGGGAAAGAAAAGGGAATCTTAACAGCATTAAGCCAAAGACACACCTTCCTGTCCTGAGATAGGGCCTTGAAAACCTACATTGTGTCTCCTAGCTTGGATGTCCTTGCCCACAGGAGTAGCCAACAGATGACTTCCTCTTCGCCAGGAGATCTCTCCAATGTTACCAAAAGGCCCGGTGAAGCCTATGTAATGTTCTTCATTATGCCACAAGTGTGGTCACGTCTGTGCATCGTCTGGTGGTGGCACGTCAGAAGAGCTTTCTGAGTCCATGTTTTAAAATGAGCAAACATGGCCCTAGCTGGTTTGGCTCAGTAGATAGAGCGTCAGCCTGCGGACTGAAGGGACCCAGGTTCAATTCCAGTCAAGAGCTCATGCATGGGTTACAGGCTCAATCCCCAGTAGGGAGCATGCAGGAGGTGGCCAATCAATGATTCTCTCTCATCGTTGATGTTTCTATCTCTCTCTCCCTCTCCCTTCCTCTCTGAAATCAATAAAAAAAATATTTTTAAAATCAGCAAACATAGATACATCAGGGTGCAGGATGGTTCCCCAGCTGGGCTCCTGCTTGGACAGTAATGCCAAAGGTGCTACTGAACTTATGCAACTCATTGCCCAAAAGGCCAAAAATGGGCACCCAGTTGCACTTGGACAAGCCACACATTTGCTCGTGTGTGAGCAGGAGTGTGGGCCACAGCCTCACAGCGGCGGGAAGGCCGGCATCTGTGATCGCCCAGCCGCGTTCTGATAGCCATAACAGAGCTGTAAATGCCGACTGCACTCAGTCTGGCTTGCTGTGGCACCATTCACTTCAGACAGATTGGAGTTGGGTGGAGTGGGGTTTTCAATCCAAATGAAAGATCTGGGCCAAAGGAAGTGAAATTTTCCAGAACTATTTTATGGTGGGAATTGCTGGGCCAGGCCCAGTGATGCCAGCAGAGGCACCAAACTCCCAGCACAAACAGCCCTCACCCTTTCAGGGGCCCTCCAGGCTACAGGAGGTGGCCCCTGGTCTCAACTACAGAGTGTGGGAGAGTTTTACACCTAGATCCGCTGTTTCTTCCACCTGGGAGGGAATGAGGATAGTCACCTCTGAAAGAAATCCCTATGGGCTGCACCAGTTCTCGCCACAGCAGACGACCAGGCTTCTGCACGGCCGGCTTAGGGCCCCCAGACGTACTGGCAGCAACACTGGGCAGAGACTCCTGAGTTTTATCACTGGTAGTTTGCTGGCACTGGCAGAACAAAATACCACAGACCTGGGTAGTTTAAACAATAAAAATTTATTGACTCATAGTTCTGGAGGCTGGAAGTCCAAGATCAAGGTGCTGGCAGGGTTGGTTTCTCCTGAGGCCTCTCTCCTGGGCTTTCAGTTCTCACTGTGTCCTCACATGGCCTTTCCTCTGCGCTTGTGCATCCCTGGTGTCTCTTCCTCTTCTTTCTAGTAAGAACACCAGTCTGGTTGGATTAGGGCCCCACCCATATGACTGCATTTAACCTAATTACCTCTGGAAAGGCTCTTCAAATACAGCTACATTAGGGATTAGCATATTAATTCAATGTATGAATTGGAGGGGGGAGGGGCACACATTAGTTTATAACAAACACTCACTAGCCAATTCCTTAATCTCTTTGAGGCTTCAGTTTGCCCCTCTAGCAATAAGGACCTAAGAGAGATGATTCCTAGAAAAATCAGTTGACTTTTCGTGGAACGGCTAATGCAGGCCACAGACTTGGAGCTGGTTGTCTATCCAGCCACAGCCGAGCCAGAGGCATCAGGAAGACCAGTGTCGGCCTCCTGAAGGCCAGGCCTCTTGCCTGACTGAGCCCTTCCATCTGCTCTGAGGAGCGTTTTGTTTTCTGATGGGACTCGCAGCTGATAATGGTCATAGCTAAACAGTGCCTAACATTTCTCGAGCACTTCCTGAGTGCCAGGCCCTGTCTGAGCTCTGTCCATGAACTATCTCATGTTATTCATCTACTCAACAACCCCGGGAGGTCGATGGAACATTGTGGCTGCCCTTGGCTTGTCTCTTTGCCGGCTGACCTATTGACCTTGCAGCCCTTAAGTTCATAACAGGAATTAAGACCTGTGCCCCAGGGGCCATGCTATAGCTAAGGATTGGTCGGCTGCTGTGCTGTTGCTAAGGACTGTTGACCAGGCAACTTAATGTGCTGAGGATTCCTGGAGGTGTCATGCCCTATCCTAAAGGCATGAATTGTTAGAAGCATGAAGGGTAGCAAGGTACTGTGTTTGGATTAAGGTTTGCATTTTTAGAACCCTTCCCCAAATGTCAGATCTCCCTGCTTGAGCTCATATAAGTTGGTCCATGCTTCCATTCTGTAAGACTGATAATTTATTCATTCATTCCAAAAAATGGTGGTGGAGTACCTAACATTCCTGAGGTGCTGCCTTTGATATTGATCACACAGGAGAATAGACAAAGTCAGCTCTGCCCTTGGATCTTATATTCGCGGAGGAGACAGACCTTAAACAAATGGTAAGGTAGCTTAAGCATAACTGTCACAAGTGCTAAGGGGATGTATAGGTGTTTTGTGCTGGGCTCAGCCTACCAGTAGCCAGTGTTGTGGTTGCACTGGCCCCTGTGGTTCTTGTTATGATTACAAGATGCCCTTCAGCTATAACCATCAGAGACTTTTGAAAACATACAGGTTTATTATCACAGACTGAAATCACACAGCACACTTGGGGCCACACAAGTGAGGTCACAGGTAGAGAGAGAGAGTGCTCAGGGCAGGGGTTCTGATTTTATTGGGGTCAAGGGTGGGGACCGAGGGTTCTGTGGGCTCACTTTTTATTGCTGGCTGTAAAAATAAGAGATGGGATTTAAAGAGCAGGTAGGAAAAACAAGTGGCCCAAATGGTCAGTTATAAAAATCAACCAAGATCTCTGAAACAAAAGGGCCCCCGTGGGCACAGGCGCCTGGCTCTTTATCTGGTCGAATGGCCGGCAATGTGCTCGTTTGAGATGGACTTCTTGGAAGGAGACACCTCGGTAATCAAAGCCTAAGGCGGGCGCTTGCCTTGCACAAAGAGAAAACCCATGGTCGGGCTTTCACCGCAGTGGGAGCCATGGAATGTAAGGGGCACTGACCCCAATCGGAGGGGAATGTCGGTGGGTATGAAGTTGGAAAGAGGAACAGGATCAGCCAGGAAAGGGCCTCTGTGTGTAGTGGGCTTCCATGTGAAATGTATGACTTACCGTGGGACATGGTCAAGACAGTTAGGGAGCCACGGAAACTGAAGGAAGGCCCACGAGCCTGGAGGTCGGGGAGGAGGATGAGGGAGACGCGGGACAGGCGGCGGAGGAGAGCAGTGGAGCCTGGGAAGCCACTCACCTGTTCTAAGCGGGGGAGGGACCGGAGCAGGTGCTGCTTAAAAATGACTGGCTTCTGAGTAGAATGGGCTTCTCTGGACTCATGGTTTGCTTCTTTCTCATGGATCCTGTGCGTTATATTAATTAAAGGTTTCTCTCTTTCCTTTGACGGGGATGAAAGCAAAAGTAGAGGCGAGAGATGGTTTTGCCCAGGAGAAGGGAGGGAAGTAGCTGGGCTGGAAAGAGACTTGGGAGATAAACTCCACCGGGATGTGGGGGGAGAGAGAGAGAGAGAGAGAGAGAGAGAGAGAGAGAGATGTTGAAGATGCTTCCCAGATTTCTGGCTTGAATAACAGAACGGATTAGGGATCAGCAGACTACAGCTTGCAGGCCAGACCCATCATTCCGCCTGTGTTTGTAAATACAGCTTTATTGAAACACAGCCACGCCCAGTCATTTGCATGTCGTCCGTGACTGCCTGCACACCACATGGCAGAGATGTGCTTACGACAGAGAGCACATGCCCGCAAAGCCTAAAATACTTACCGGCTGGCCTTTGTGCAAAGTTCGCTGCCCTGGGACAGATGATAGTGACTTTAGCTGAAATAGGGAACAAGCGGAAGATATAGCAGAGGGTTAGGTGGAGAGAGAAAAGAGGACAAGTTCGGATTGGGAGTCTCAGAGGTACCAAGTGTAACTATCTAATAGGCAGTTAGCTCTATTGGTCCCAGAAGAGAGTTCTGGGTAGAGAGGGCAGCAGGGGGCACTGTGGGAGGAGACAGGATCAGGAGCTGGAACCAACCAAGGAGAGGGTGTGTGAGAAGAGGGTTCCAGAAGAAATCTTCGGGAATTCTAACATTTTAGGGACCCTGAGCGCATCCTATCAAGTGTCTGATTCTAAGAGCAGCTCCCCACCAGTGGACTCCAGGGGAGCAGCGGGGAGCCAGGCAAGCACCTGAACTGAGCTTTGATTACTGAGGCATCTCCTTCCAAGAGGCAGGTTCTGCTGTGGTACCCAGTGGTGGTCCAGGGGCCTCCTGGCTACACAGGCGAGGGCCCCAGGATGCCTGTGGCGGGACCTAATGTGTAAGAGCATGGCTCTGGGGGATGCTGTTGAATTGAGTGTCCCAGGCAGGACCCTATGGGAGAACTGGGACTGGTGGCAGGTCAGTGAGGCTGCTCCTCTCCATCCCTCCTGGTGACCATGCCTGCCTTTCTCTCTACAGCTGCGCCTGAACGGGGGCCGAAACCCCTTCGAGGGCCGGGTGGAGGTGCTGGTGGAGAGGAATGGGTCCCTTGTATGGGGGACCGTGTGCGGCGAGAACTGGGGCATCGTGGAGGCCATGGTGGTCTGCCGGCAGCTGGGCCTGGGGTTCGCCAGCAACGCCTTCCAGGTGAGAAGCCCGGGTTTCCGCCCCTCCATCCAGTCTGATCCTCCCGCCTCTAGTCAGCCCCTGCCCCCCACGGACCTTCCCCAGCCACCCAGAAGGAGGAGAGCCACGCGCCATGGGCTGGGTGGGAGGCAGCAACCTCCTCCCAGTCTCAGTTCTGCCCCTCAGGACTCTGAGTCCCAGGGTGGGTCACCCTCTGCTTCTCCTCACTGCAGAGTGAGGGCCTCTGGTTTCCCAGTCCACTCAGTTTGCACTGGGATTCACCCTAATCTTGGGGTGTCCTTCTATGCCCTTTGCAGAGGGAAGCAGCTCAGTCCTACAGGGCAGTGGCCACCACCCAGGCCGAGGCCCAACACGCCCTGGGCCTTAGCTCGCTCCCTGGGAGGCCAGCTGTAGCCCCTGCTCATGCGTTCTCGGGTTGATCGGCTGCTAAGTTTCCACGCCCGTCCAGAACCCTGTCACAGCCGCTGCACCTTCCTCCCCGGGCCCCTTCCTCAGAGTGACTCAGCGGAGGGCAGCCAAGCTCCTGCCCTACCGAAAGGCAGCAGAAGAAGACAAGTAGCGTTTGGCTTCAAAAATTATTCCCTCTGGACCCTACTGTGAGGGAACAGGCACCCCCAGAGTAGAAGAGTGTCAGAAAGAGGCTCGGGTGGGGCAGGAGACAGAAGGCTGGAATCTTCCCAGCTGTACTCCCAACAGCCACGGCATAACGATCTGGGCAGAGCAGCTACCTTTCCAGGCCTCACTTTTCCTCCTGTGACTTGGAATGGACAGTCCCAGGTCCACAGGCCCCTTGCTCCAAAGACTTTCCTTAAGCTTCTCACAGAGCAGGAGAATGGCTGGAGCCCCCCGCCCCCTGCTTTGCTAACCCTGCCTGACTCCAGCTCCCGTGCCCAGGTGGCCCTGCTAGGAAAGAGGAATTCTAAGGGCGAGACCTGGAAGAAGCCTGGCAGCCTTGCTGAGCCTGACCGCCGGTCAGGTCCGGGAAGGCAGTGAGCCCGGAGCAGGGCTGCCCCGTGGCCTCTGGCACTGCTGCCCACACCCTCCGGGAGCCAGCTCCCTGGGCAGCACAGCGTCTCCGCTAATACCGCCTGTGACAAGCCAGGGCACTGTCTCTCTCAGGAGAGCAGAAAACAGTGCTCATTACACATAGTGGCTGTCTGGTTATTTTTGTTCCTTATCAGCCCATTCCTAAGACATCCGGGCCTCAGCTGGGGTTGTGCATTGGGCCTGCACCTGGTATCTGTCCCTTCTCGAGGCCCCAGTTTTCTTTTCAGAGGATGAGGGATGTATAGTCAGGTTCTCTATATATGGATAGCAAACGAGCTACTGCCATATGTGAATACATTTCTTCTCTCCTGCCCGTTCTGATCAATTGGTAGTGTCTTCCTGGGGCATTATGTTGAGAAGGATTCTGAGATCGCAGTCAGACTCAGAGGAGAGTGCTGTGATTGATTAGTAATGTCTGCCCTGGGCTCAGGATAAGTCAGTGGCAGCATGAATTGCAGGTGCCGGCCATTCCTGATACACCGCACTGAACAGTTGTTTGACCAAAGCTACTTTAGCAATGCTCTCCAGGGTGGAGGGGGTGTGACAGACTCCAGTGCTCATGGTCAGAAGACCTAGAGTCTGGCTCACGCTGCCACAACAAGCTGCATGGCTTGGGTAAGTGCTTCTTGGTGCCTCAGTTATCTCCATCTGGCAAATGGGATCATAAAGCGTTGAGACTTTTGTGAGGCTGAACGATGATAGAACATGAGAAAGTGACCATTCAAGGTGACACACTGGCCATTTCTTTTGTTGACTCCCCAGGAGACCTGGTATTGGCAGGAAAACATCAATGCCAACACAGTGGTCATGAGCGGAGTGAAGTGCTCGGGAACGGAGCTGTCCCTGGCGCACTGTCGCCAGGATGAGGACGTGGCCTGCCCCCAGGGCGGAGCACATTATGGGGCTGGAGTCGCCTGCTCAGAAAGTGAGTTCCTGGGGGTCGGATCCACCCTCCTTGCCAGGCTCCAGGAAAGGACCAGAGTCTCAGTGGTTATTCCTCGAAAGGCTCTGGGGCCTCTGCCACTGGCTGAGCAAAAAAGGAACGCAGAGGTTAATTCTTGTTAAGTGAGAAGGTGGGGGCAAGAGGGACTCCCCCACCCCACCCACAGAACCTTGCTTGATGGCAGGGTGGGTTAGGGTTAGGGAGTAACCAGGGTGTCTGGGGGCCTTGGGTTCGAATCTCAGGGCCACTGTAGACTCTTTAAGCAACCTTGGGCAAATTACGTGGCTGAGAATCCTTGCTCTTAGCAGGAGCATGGTTCTGAGGTTAGCAAAGTGTGAAGACCATGCTAGGTGCTCAGCACACACCACTTCCCTTCTTACCTTCCGCCCTCCTCTGTAGGTCATTTTCTGTTGCACAGCCTGGAGGTGATTTTGCTTCCAGGTGACTCCCTGGGCATTCTAGAAAGACTGACAATATAGAAGGGGAAGCCCTGCCAGGATTCAGAATGACCGAGGGTGTGAAGCCTCCCGCCCATGCTGAGAGAGAGATCACCAGAGGACGGCCTTCAGGCGTGTCATCTCCTGATCCCCAAACTCCACTCTCCCAACCAGGCCTTGTAAAACCACTCCCTCGTGAATCAGGGAGGCAGGAGAGGCCCAGGATCTGAGACCAGACCCTGCCTGCCACTTACTGCTGATCTTGGCAAAGTTAGTTAACCACTATGATCCACAATTGTTTTTTTTGAGAAACTGAAAATTAAACATGACAATGAACATATGCAGGTGCTTGATAAAAAATGATGCGCTGTCATCTACTATCACGGAGCATGAGGGAGAAGATTAAACCTTGAGCTCAGTCAATTCAAGTCTCTCATCAACGCCCTTAAGACTCACTCAGTATTTCCTCAGCCTGTTAAGGCAGGACGCTGGATGCCAGCGCTGGCTTCTTCGGGCAGACGTCCCAAGCTATTGCATCCTGTCTGAGAGGAGAGCCTGAGATCATCACCCTACAGTCCCCTGGGGGAACACATCCAAGCAGAGAGAGGCGATCTCACTGCTGTCATGGCTTATTCATTTATATCTGTAATACACCTCCCCCCCCAAAAAAAGGGCATTTAGATAACATAAACCTAAATAAAACTCAAGGTAGCATAAAATAAAAGGAGATGAAAGAAAAGTAGATATTGGCAAAAAGACTAAGTCTACATACAATATTACACACGTTGGAAAATAGATCTATATCACTCCCAAAAGAATTGGACCCACGTATTAGAGGGTTCTTTTTGGTAGAGAGAACATTGTTATTGTTTGTCATCATCCTTATTATTATTTGCTTTTCATATGGGACGTCTCAAGCTACTCAAAAGCAGAGAGAATAATATAATGAACCCTAATGGACCCGTTAAAGATTGCACAATTTCCAACGTTTTGCCCATCTGCACTGATACCTGCGGAGGCGTCCAACAGGACACTCAGAAGGGGAAGAGGAAGGTGGGCTGGTGTTCCTCAAGGACTGTGACCCTGAGAGAGGGAGACCGCGAGTCAGTTCCAGAAGGTGGTGGTAGGCAGGCAGGGACGGGGGTTTGTCTCAGTTCAGGAATCAGAAGTCAAATGCCTGGGAAGGGGTGAGGGGTGTCGGGTCTTGCTTGAGCACAGTGTCTGCCCTCCGCAGCCGCCCCTGACCTGGTCCTCAATGCGGAGATTGTCCAGCAGAGCACCTACCTGGAGGACCGGCCCATGTTCATACTCCAGTGCGCCATGGAGGAGAACTGCCTCTCGGCCTCGGCTGCCCAGACCAACCCCACCACGGGCCACCGGCGGCTGCTGCGCTTTTCCTCCCAGATCCACAACAACGGCCAGTCCGACTTCCGGCCCAAGAACGGCCGCCATGCGTGGATCTGGCATGACTGCCACAGGTGAGGCCTCCCTTCCGTCTGCAAGGCCCCGATGGGACTGAGAATCACAGGGTCACAGAGAGACCTCACAGTCCAGGGGGCCGGGGTTCCTAAGTTGGAGGGAGTCGGTCTGCCCCACTGGCTGGCCAGTCTCCACTCCCAGTCGCCTTGGCCCACGCCCCCTTCCCTGAGCCCATTCTCTCTTGCCTCCCAGGCCTCTAACACTAGGAAAGAGGCCTCGTTTTGAGAACCTCATGCCTCCACTGACCTGTCAACAGTGTTCAAGTGTGTCCACAGGAGGTTGGTCCTCCACAGGGTGCTTGGGGGTCTGCAATGATTGGACTCTAGATTCACTTAAAAATACATTTTAAATACCAGTATGTGTTTTAAGTATTTCTAGGAAGACAGTGGGTTTGGAGAAAAGTGTTCTAGTCCCAGGAGTCCAGAGACCTGGTCTCTCCACCCCGCTGTGCCTCTAACAAGCTGTGCGATGTCAGGACATCTGGGCCACATCACCCAGGACCTCTGCTGTCCCTTCCAGGCCCCCGTCTGTGGGTCGGATCCCAGGGCTGTAAATCCTGGGCAAGGGCAGAGTGACATCCTGGAGCCAGCTCTAGCTGGAACCAACAGAAGCCACCTCATTCATCTCCTGCATTTTCCTTTTTTTTTTTTTTGCCTTGATTCTAACTCTAATTCAGAGCCCGCTGCCCCTGCTTGTTCATGTTTTCCTGCTCGGACCTGGCTGGGCAGGTAGAGGGAGCCGAAGGAGCACACTTTGGAAAAGGAAGGGAGGCAGGCCCAGGCGTGGGTCCAGTGAGTGCCCGTCTCTGTCCTCAGAATCCCATGTACACAGCAGAGCTTTGGCACGTGGTCCCCGCTCCTCACAGCGAGGCCATGGCTGGCGTGTCTGCCCTCACTGCTATGCCCCGGGGCCCGGTGCCTTCGAATCTAATCTAACAGGATCACCACGCGCCTGTGTGCACACCACAGCCTGAGAAGCCCGGTCTAACTCATCTCCAGGCGTCATTCCTGCCCTATAATGTGGTGGTCACTGTTAGGGACCCCCTCTAAGTGCCAGGCCGGGGCACCCTCATTTTCCGGGGTAAGGAAACGGAGGCTCCGTGTTAGTGTGACACAAGAGTTACTGGGCAGGGAACCCCACTCGGGCATGTCTGACCCCAATGTGTGTGTTCTTTCTGTGCCCTCCGCTGACACTCCATCAGAAACCTGTCTGCTTTATCCCGGGACAACTGAGGGCCTAGTCACATTCGAATCAGTTTGGGGATAGAGTTGTTCAACTCATTTCGAAAGAAAGGACTAGGGCAGAATGTACGGTTGCCAGTTTTCCTTTATAACGACTGTCCCTATGTTCTGAAAGTTGTCATCAGCCAAAGAACTTGTGCTTTTCATACGGAAGCGTGTCGGTGCAGGGTGGAAGGCAAAGGGTAAAATGAGAGTCAGGGCCGCCTTGGTGCCTGATTTCCATGGGGAACACATGGAGGAGGCCAGGGCCTGTGGGTGGACGCCGCCTGTGCGTCTATAAGTGGAAGATAATTGCATCTCTGCCCCACACATGACGGTCCACCCATACATTACATGCCCGCGTGTCTGTGCGACACATGCTGGCTCTCTTCTGAGAGAGCACCAGGGGACATCGTGGAAGTGCTGCTCCGATCGCCGCCCCTGCTTTTCCTGGGGTCTGTCATTTCCTTGCTTACACATGTTCCAGTAAATGGTTTGGGAGGCTGGGCGGGGAAGAACATGGGGCTGAGCATGTGTCCCTGCTGGCCTAGAACTGAGAACCTGTGGCCAGAGGATCCGGGGAGCATGGGAGACCCCGCCCAGCCCCCAGAGCTCTGGGGACTCCCCAGGCTCCGCGGGAGGCCTTTCTACAGGACTCCTGGCCCCAAACCTTTATGGGGTCCCTGTGGGAGTCTGATGAAAGCTAGCCCTTCCTCCACTCAAAAAAATTATTTTTTTCTAGAATATTTAACATCCTGGCTCAGCAGATCCATAAATACTGAGCCCATCTCTGGATCCAAAGTTGGATCCCTGGTTCGAATTAGTGCAAACGAGGAAAGCCATCGCTCCCAGCTGAATGGGTCCTACAATGAGAAACAGGGCCATGTTCTTCGAAAGCCCCAAGATGACACAGAGGGGTGGTCACTGTTAGGGACCCCAGGCTCCTTCCTCAAACACTGGGCTCGAGTCTTTTGGCAGAAGGCCGTCCCTCCTTTATCCAGCTTACAATGGCGCCATCAAGGGTCACATCATTCTGTCTCCTTAGCGTTCTGGTATTTCTTTCCAAGCAAAGTTTTCCTGTCTTTACCTCTCCTCTCCTGTCCAAAGGTTAGGGCACCTCAGCCTGGGAAGAGGAAGTATAAACCCTCATTACCAGGATACACCTTCCCACCTTCCGGGGTGGGGCATGCATGGGTGATGGGGTGGGGTGCCCTGGGATGCCCTGGGCCCTCCAGCCAGCCAGCTGGGAGGGAGACGTGGCCCAGGGGTGGTGTCCACATGCTGGAGAGGCAAGGCAGAGGGGCTTCAGACTGCAGCGAGCTACAGCTGGGAGGCTCAAACCAGCTGTTTCATCCCCAGGGTTCACGGGGGTGTTGTGGGGGGACTGAAGAGCTGGGGAAGACTTAGATCAAGTTTGCAGAGGCAGCGGGGGTGGGAGGAGGTCAGCCTCACAACAGTTTGTCTGTGGTCTCCGTCTGAGTTTTGTTTAGACAACGGAGCATAACCCTATTTCTCTTCCGCCTTCCAGCTGGTAAACAGGGTAACAGAAGCTGTTCTCAGAAAGATGCAGACATGTTTTAGGCAGTGAGTCAGACCTCAGCCTCCTCTTGCTCCTCCAAGGAGCCGAAAGAGACTTTCAGAGTCATCGCTCAGCTGCCACAGAATGTGTCCTTGTGAGTGTGCCAGCGGCCCTGGCTCGGCTTCGTTTACCCAGAAACATGAGTGACCTGGGAAAAGCCCAGCGTAGGAACTTATGACATTATTTTCAGCAAAGGCAAACACAGGAGGAAGAGGAAAAGAACCTCTAATTTCCTCTCTGAAAAGCTACCCTTCTGATCCCCCCCTTCCCTCGGTCCTCTGCTGTGCCAGTTCCAGCGGAGGGAGCCTGAAGCCAGCCAGGTGGCGTGGACGGGAGAAGCTACCGTGGGCCTGGGAATAGTGGCAGGAATGGTAGCGGTGGTGGTGATAATAAAAACACTCCTCCTCTTATTAAGGGGAAAGGTAGCAATAAGGAGAGAGTGGACAGGCACTGTGTACCCCTGTCACAGCCGAGGGTTAGGCATTTCTGCACTGTCTCCTGCCGATCCGATCCTACTCCTGGGGCGGGGCCGTGTTACCATTCTCTCTTCCCGAGGAGACAACTCTGGTCATGCGTAGGCAACGCAAGGGCTCCTGCTCCCGTGCTTGGCGCCTTGTCGGTTTCCCCCGTTCCCAGATGTCCCCCGTGAGAGGGAGGCGAGCGTGTTCGGTAGTCGCAGCCTGTGACACACACGCTCAGGACGGCCGGGCCAGCCAGTGCCTCAGAGGCCCCCGCAGCCACGTTCCCCTTGTGCGCTCTGCACCAAATGCATCACTTTCCAGGAATCTGCATCTGTTCTCAATTCCTCCCATCCCCACCCAGCGAGATGGGGCACTGTATGTAAACAGGGAGCCGGCTGCACAGCAGCCCCTCCTCTGCCTCGATCCCTCCGCAGCTGCCTGGCCCCTCGTGTGCATTTGCTCCATGCAGGGAACACAGACTTCCTGCTGTTCACTTCCAGTTGCGGCTGACCATCCTGCACCCTGCTCCCGCTCCTCTGGCCTGTCCCTGGGACACGTTAGGGCCTGCTCGTCTGCCTCTCCCCTACTCCACGGACCCTCCCCATCCTCTTCTTTCCCTCTCCACCATATTCCCTCTTCCAAAAGTTTTCAAAAGACACCGAACAGTAACTTTTACTAGCCTGCGGGATGGGTACCAAATAGGAAGGGGCTGTGAGAGCCACTGGAGTGCTGGAGGGGGAAGGGGGTGTTAGAGGCACTCAGAACAGATACCTTAGTTTATTGAGCTTATTGTACGCCAGGCCCTGTGCTCATCCATTCATCTCACTAATTCCCACACCTCATGCATTCCATTTGTTATTATTCCCATTTAGCTGGTGAGAGAACTGAGGCCCAGGAGCTGCTGCCTCACTCTGGACCCCACGTAAACACCCTGGTACCACCTTATGCCGTCACCCCTCCTCTCCCATCAGCCACCCCTTTGGACAGCGCTACTCAAGGTGTCCCCACAAGCAAATCGCCAGCCAGGCAGTTGCTAGCAGGCGGCAGTTGCTCCCCAAACTGATTCCCCGGCCCTGTCTCCCACCCCAGGCACTACCACAGCATGGAAGTGTTCACCCACTACGATCTCCTGAACCTCAATGGCACCAAGGTGGCAGAGGGCCACAAGGCCAGCTTCTGCTTGGAGGACACGGAATGTGAAGGAGGTATCTTTGTGGGGGTACTGGGGGGGCTGCAGAGGGACGCCATGCCCTAACGGCTGTGCCCACCCAGCCCAGAGCCCAGGTGTGATGCTGGACCCTGGCCACTGCTGACTCCCCACATGACCTTTCTCTATGGGAGCTTCCATGGCTACACTCGGGGTGTGGGCAAGGCCTGGCTATAAAGGCGCCGGGATCCCCAGAGTTATGCTGATGGGCACTGGTCAGGCTCTAACCCTTGGACCAGAGACAGTCCCCTCCCACTCTGGCTATCACAGCCGTTCTCCCTGTGTCCCAAATCCAAGTGCCGCTGCCCTACAGGCTCTTACCCTTCAAGTTGGAGCTCAAACGAGCCCTGCAACTCCCAGACTCTCAGCTCCCCCAGGCAGAGGCAGCACCCTGCTCACACTGCTTAGAGACTGCCCACCGGCACTGTGGGTGCACCTGCCCTCCCAGCATGCCTGGGGCTCTTCAAGGGGAGACACCGGATTCTTCTCAGTACATCAGTGCATAGTGTCCGACGTGGCAGCCTCTCAATAAATGTGGCCGCCACTGATGTGCCATGAGACCACACAAGTGGGTTTTGAGCACCTACTGTGTGCCATATGAGCCGCTGGCCCAGTAAGGGTCAGACAGACAAACCAGACCTGAACCCAAATTCAAGTGCTGATTGTCCAGAGAGAGACAAGATGACCCCACAGTAAGCTAAACATTAAAGATCACGGCTTTTCCCGACAAGCATGAGCTTCGTTCCCAGGCCAGTCGTTCCTCAGAAAGGCCAATGTGGGCCGTAGTGGCCAGGGAAGGCTTCGTGGAGGAGGGGGACCCTGGCTGGGATGTGGGGAGGAAATTGGGTATGGGGTTCTATTGAAAGAGAGGGGATTAGACACCACACAATGGGGTGGCATGCTGAGCCCTGCTGAAGCTGAGGCTGGGGGGCTTGGGGAAGGAAGTGAGACACTGAGGGCGGGGTCTGGGATGTCACACACCCAGCAGGGCTGTTTGAGGTCCTGTGGGGAGGGTGGCACAGAGGGCGGAGGCACCACGTGTGCCTGGTGACGGATTCCCTCGGCACCTGCCTGCAGACATCCAGAAGAGTTACGAGTGTGCCAACTTTGGCGAGCAGGGCATCACCATGGGCTGCTGGGACGTGTACCGCCATGACATCGACTGCCAGTGGGTGGACATCACCGACGTGCCGCCTGGAGACTACCTGTTTCAGGTGAGGGCGTAGGAAGGCGTTCTGGGCCCTGGCGGATGGAAGGAAGGGTCTTTTTCCCAGGGAGGGAGGGCAGCCTCCTTTCTGTTGGCGCCCAAACAAAACACGTCCATGGAGGCCAGGCTGTCTAAAGTGCAGGAGTCCTGCGCCCAGAGGCCTGTGCGCTCAGTCCGGGAACCTGAGTAGGTGAGGCAGGCAGGCTGGGCAGGGCGGGGCGGGAGGTGGAGTGCAGACCTGAGACGTTGGCACTCAATTCACTTAACATCTGGTGCTTTCAAATCAAAATGCATCTGCAGCCAGGCGTGGTCCTCAGGCTAGGAATCTGTCCCACAGGCGCTAAGGCCACCAGCCCTGTTTGCTCCCTTGGAACTACACTTTCACCTCCCCCGGGCTTCTCTGGCGTCCTCACCCTGCCGTGATCTGTGCTGTCAAGGCTGAAAGCAGTCACAGAAAAAGGCTGTTATAACGGAGCATGTCTGGCACTAGAGACAGCCTGTCCAGTGACTGTGAGCACTTGCCAGGGCTTCCACGTACTCCGTCTGCGGGGGGCGGGGGGGGCAGCCCTGGGGTGGAGCCAAGGAGGCTTGGCCCCCCACCTTCTTGCAAATGGCTGTATGCTCCAGCCAGGGCCCTGACCCGTGGGGAGACAAGGCCCGCCCCGGGCCTCCCCTCCTGGTTTGCAGGTGCACTGTGCCCTTACAGGCTTCCTCACACCCTCTCATTCCCCCACCTTCTTGCTTTCCAGCTTGCCCCATGGGTGGCAAAGTAGGTGACCAGAAATGTGTCATTGTGCCTGAAAGCTTTCCCCAGGGGGCACTCAGCCAGCCCAGGGCCCCACCCACAGTCCCCACCCAATGGCAGCCCTGGGATGAACCAACACCTGCCGAGAAGTAACCACAGAGGGACTTCAAGAGTCTCCCCGGCAATTTCAGAGGCTAGGAATCAGACAGCCAAGCACTTTTCCACCCACAAGCCCAAAACCGCAGACTTGGAGCGGCCCCGCCAAAGGGCAGTGCTCTGTGTTTTAAAAACGGAACCTCTGTGTCTGTGCACGTACGCCGTGGAGGGCGGCTTGCGTTGGAGGATTGCTGTCACTTTGCTGGGTGCGTGCGTACCATCGTGCTTTCTGTCCTGACGGGCGCCCTCTGAGAGGCCCAGCCAGCCTGCTAAAGGACCATGCCCAAGCCCTCCTGGGCGGAAGGATCCTTAGGCCCCAAACCTAGAAACTGTTCCTTCACTGGCAGGATGCTGCTCCCTCATCCCCACAGACCCAGGGCAGCACTGTCCCCTCAGCCGCTGGGCACAGCAGGGCCCTCAGGGGAAAACCTGTCATTTGTCCCCCGTGCCTCACCCACGGCCCAGGGGCAGCTCTGGTCTATTCTCCCCTCCCCGTCCCTTTCTCCTCTGGGTCCCCCACTCCCGTCTCCCTCTCCTGTCCCTTTTCTGTCCCTCACAGAAACCCTCTCTACATGACGGCCCTCCCTATTCCTGCCCTTTGGACTCTGCCCTTCAGCTGGGGTGATCCACAGAAGGGGTGCAAGGGGGTCCAGTCTCCACCACAGCCCAGGCCCTTGGGCTGGCCGAGCAGGGAGGGCTCAGGGACTGCCTAGCAGCGGTTCTCAACCTGTGGGTCGCGAACAATGAAAATATATCCTGCATATCAGATATTTACGTGACGATTCATAACAGTAGCAAAATTACAGTTATGAAGTAGCAACGGAGATAATGTTATGGTTGGGGGTCACCACAACATGAGGAACTGTATTAAAGGGTCGCGGCATTAGGAAGGTTGAGGACCACTGGGAGCAACACCAAAGCCCAGACAGCAGGAGGGACACTTGAAGTGACACCGCCAGCAGCCGCGTCCAGTCTCCAATGTGCAGGGCAGCCCTTCTCCCACCTCCCTCGGTGCCGGTCCTTGCCCCTCACGTCTCAGCACGTCCTGCCCCTTCGGTTCCTCTACAGTCTGTTCTGTGCCCTCCCCAGGCCCCGACTCCCGCCTCTCCCCACCTCAGGCCTCCCAGGGCAGTGGGAGAGGGAGACCCCTTCCGAAGGCTGCTTTAGGCAGGCTGTGTGTGAACCACACTGAGGTCACGGGCCTCTCCCTCCTCCAGGGCCTGCCTGGCCGGCTCTGGCCCGTCCTGCGCTGGCTCCTCGTGAGCAGCACCGCCCCGCTC